TTTAAAGTTTGAGGGTAAGAATCGTGTAAAAGAAAAAAAAATCCCTTACTTTGGGGATAGATTCCTGGAAATCTCACTTATTTTCAATGTTGACAGCTATGGCACAGTGGTCGAACATTACAAACCTTATAAACATTCTAAACTAAATTGTCCAATTCCACACTGCCTGAAATTTGGATTACAGTAGCAGAAGAATACAAAGAGTTATCCAATATGGCAATGTACCGCTTCCATTTGGAACTACATATCTGTCAGGGTTTCCTATACATTCATTAATTTGTGCCAAAATATCAATGCAGACCGCCACGGATTGATTTTCAGATTTTTTTTATACATTTTTTTTAACTATTTAGGTAAAATTATAAACTATATGGATGGTTAAAATTGTATATTATAAACTATATGGGTACAATTGTATATTATAAACTATATGGGTAAAATTTTATTTTATTGTAGAGCTGCGCGCAGCTAGCGTGCGTGCTCTCTCTCTCTCCCCCTCTCTCTCAAACTGACAACGGAGGCGCGTGCAAATAGCCCTTCCTCCTCCAGCTTGGTCTGAATATGTGCATGTGTTGGAAACGAGCATGAGTTGGAGGACGAAGATTCCAGAATCAATCCGTAGTTGAATGGTTAGTAAAATGAACAACTGTTGCACAATATAACTTTGAGAAGTTAGTCTATTTTCAGATTGGAAGTGGAACGCACTTCCATTACAGATTCGCACAACATTTTTGCGATTTTGTTCTAAGTGTCGGTAAAGAAAACTGCAAAATGACGCTGTTTCCATTAACTGATGTTATGCGACTAAAACATTTTTTTTCTCTCGCAATCAGTCATTACAAAAATCATGGCAACGGACGTTGGTAGGTTTATCACAGCCACCGCACTAGACATTATTATTAGCCTATTAATGTAAAGAGACGTATGCCTGAGCGTGTTATCCAAGGAAAGACCCTTACACTGTGAGTAGTGTTGCACGGTGCACCGATACTTCAAAAGTATCGCGATACTCGGAAATTAAAAACCTCACGATACCTAAATTTATTAGTATCGATACTTTTATGAATGACCGCGACCCAGATTTGTTAGAGACGTATTTAATGTTGGTGTGTGCCACGCACGCTTACAGTCTCTCCCTATGAACGTCTGTGTTTCTCCTCACGCACGCAGCAAAGAAGCTGCAACTGTCATGAGACAAACACTACCGCGAGACGGCTGCATGCGCGAGCACACGTGATACAGTGGCCGCCTGTCAGTAGCGGAGTGGCAATCAGGAGAGTCGGATCTTTTCCCGGTGGGCCGGTGGTGTTTCGAGGCCGCGAGGGCCGGTCTGATAGTTATACATTGCAAGTTATTAGAAACACAATCCAGAGGTCTCTGCAACGGCGATAGTTTGAAGCGCGCGTCCGTGTGAAGACGGTGCACGACTGCGCGAGCCGCAAACCAACTGATAGCAGCGAAAAAGAGTGGTGCTTGATTTAAAACAACAACAACAGATTTTAGCGCTAGATCTCTTATTTAATATCGAACTAAATGAATTATCTGCTAGAGATAGTCGGGATCACCGCATGGCTTGGGCTCTGGAACCACTCTCCTTGAGAGAGGATGGACTCTTCACCACTCTGGAGTTGCCCATGGTGAGAGGCGACGGGCTGGTGTGGGTTTGTTAATAGCCCCCCAGCTCAGCCGCCATGTGTTGGAGTTTACCCCGGTGAACGAGAGGGTCGTTTCCCTGCGCCTACGGGTCGGGGATAGGTCTCTCACTGTCGTGTGTGCCTATGGGCCAAACGGCAGTGCAGAGTACCTGGCCTTCTTGGGGTCTCTGGGAGGAGTGCTGGAAAGTGCTCCAACTGGGGACTCCGTCGTTCTACTGGGGGACTTCAACGCTCACGTGGGCAACAACAGTGACACCTGGAGGGGCGTGATTGGGAGGAACGGCCCCCCCGACCTGAACCCGAGTGGTGTTCAGTTATTGGACTTCTGTGCCTAGTTACAGTTTGTCCATAACGAACACCATGTTCAAGCATAAGGGTGTCCACCAGTGCACGTGGCACCAGTACACCCTAGGTCGTAGGTCGATGATCGACTTTGTGGTCGTTTCATCTGACCTGCGGCCGTATGTCTTGGACACTCGGGTGAAGAGAGGGGCGGAGCTGTCAACTGATCACCACCTGGTGGTGAGTTGGATCCGATGGCCGGGAAGGAGGCTGGACAGACTTGGCAGACCCAAGCGTACTGTAAGGGTTTGCTGGGAACGTTTGGCCGAATCTCCTGTCAGAGAGATCTTCAACTCTCACCTCCGGCAGAGCTACAACCAGATCCCGAGGGAGGCTGGAGATATTGAGTCTGAGTGGACCATGTTCTCCACCTCCATTGTCGAAGCGGCTGCTCGGAGCTGTGGCCGTAAAGTCTCCGGTGCCTGTCGAGGCGGCAATCCCCGAACCCGGTGGTGGACACCGGAAGTAAAGGATGCCGTCAAGCTGAAGAAAGAGTCCTATCCGGAGGCAGCTGACAGGTACCGGCAGGCCAAGCGGACTGCGGCCCGGGTGGTTGTGGAGGCAAAAACTCGGGCCTGGGAGGAGTTCGGTGAGCCCATTGGAGAAGGACTATCAGCTGGCCTCGAAGAGATTCTGGCGAACTGTCCGGCGCCTCAGGAGGGGGAAGCAGTCCCCCACCAATGCTGTTTACAGTAGGGCTGGGCGGCTGCTGACCTCAACTGGGGATGTCGTCGGGCGGTGGAAGGAATACTTCGAAGATCTCCTCAATCCCGCCGCCACGTCTTCCATTGAGGAAGCAGAGGCTGAGGGCTCAGAGGTGGACTATCACCCTAGCTGAGGTCACCGAGGTAGTCAAGAAACTCCTCGGTGGCAAGGCACCGGGGGTGGATGAGATCCGCCCTGAATACCTCAAGTCTCTGGATGTTGTGGGGCTGTCTTGGTTGACACGCCTCTGCAGCATCGCGTGGCGGTCGGGGACAGTGCCTCTGGGATGGCAGACCGGGGTGGTGGTTCCTCTTTTTAAGGAGGGTGTGTTCCAACTACAGGGGGATCACACTTCTCAGCCTCCCTGGGAAAGTCTATGCCAGGGTACTGGAGAGGAGAATACGGCCGATAGTGGAACCTCGGATTCAGGAGGAACAGTGTGGTTTTCGTCCGGGCCGTGGAACACTGGACCAGCTCTATACTCTCTACAGGGTGCTGGAGGGTGCATGGGAGTTTGCCCAACCAGTCCACATGCGTTTTGTGGATTTGGAGAGGGCATTCGACTGTGTCCCCCGAGGCAGCCTGTGGAGGGTGCTCCGGGAATATGGGGTCCGGGGTCCTTTGCTAAGGGCTGTCCGGTCCCTGTATGACCGAAGCAGGAGCTTGGTTCGCATTGCCGGTAATAAGTCAGACTTCTTCCCAGTGCATGTTGGACTCCGGCAGGGCTGCCCTTTGTCGCCGGTTCTGTTCATAATTTTTATGGACGGAATTTCTAGGCACAGCCAGGGGCCGGAGGGTGTCAGGTTTGGGGACCGCACGATTTCGTCTCTGCTCTTTGCGGATGATGTTGTCGTGTTGGCCTCTTCACACCAGGACCTTCAGCATGCACTGGGGAGGTTTGCAGCCGAGTGTGAAGCGGCTGGGATGAGAATCAGCACCTCCAAATCCGAGGCCATGGTCCTCAGTCGGAAAAGGGTGGCTTGCTCACTTCAGGTTGGTTGAGAAATCCTTCCTCAAGTGGAGGAGTTTAAGTATCTTGGGGTTTTGTTCACGAGTGAGGGAAGGATGGAACGGGAGATTGACAGACGGATCGGTGCAGCTTCAGCAGTAATGCGGTCGATGTACCGGTCTGTTGTGGTGAAGAAGGAGCTGAGCCGTAAGGCAAAGCTCTCGATTTACCGGTCAATCTACGTTCCTACTCTCACCTATGGTCATGAGCTTTGGGTCATGACCGAAAGGACAAGATCCCGGATACAGGCGGCCGAAATGAGCTTTCTCCGCAGGGTGGCTGGGCGATCCCTTAGAGATAGGGTGAGAAGCTCGGTCACTCAGGAGGAGCTCAGAGTAGAGCCGCTGCTCCTCCACATCGAGAGGGGTCAGCTGAGGTGGCTCGGGCATCTGTTCCGGATGCCTCCTGGACGCCTTCCTGGGGAGGTGTTCCGGGCACGTCCCACTGGGCGGAGGCCCCGGGGAAGACCTAGGACACGCTGGAGAGACTATGTCTCCCGGCTGGCCTGGGAACGCCTCGGTGTCCCCCCAGAAGAGCTAGAGGAAGTGTCTAGGGAGAGGGAAGTCTGGGCATCTCTGCTTAAACTGCTGCCCCCGCGACCCGGCCCCGGATGAAGTGGAAGAAGATGTATGTATGTATGTATGAATTATCTGCTAGTTAACTGGAGATGTTTCATTTATTTTTGTATTAGGTGTACAACTTTCCCCACAACTTTCATAGATAGCATAATCATTTGCAAGCTGCTAAATTAAAGGATACAAAACATCAGCAAAATGATCTATCTGCTATATGATTATAATCAGAGCATGTGCATGTCAGTGATTTATTCATATTAGGTTATTACAGCATTAAAGAGCACAGACCTATGCAAAGGAAGTGCATATGAAACGCCTTGTAAGAAATACTTTCCTTTTCAGGAAAAGTATCGAAAAAGTATCGAAATCGCAATACTTGATTTGGTATCATGACAATAATTTTGGTATCATGACAACACTAACTGTAAGCGGCATATACGAGGTGTTTTCTCACTCATTTCTGCTTCAAGGTCTTGATTGTGGAATTTCTTTGAGGTTTAGAATCGAGTAGCCACACATTTATATTATTAGGGCATTGGGAATGTTTTTTTCAGAAAGGCCCACAAAATAAAATGTTCAAACAAAAGCCAAATTTGCAACAAGAAGTCTGTGGAGCAGTCATAGAAAAATATATGATATATTTAACCCTTTTGTTGTGCCTTAATTGCATTGCACTGCACTCCTCTGCATTAGACGACAGTAACAGATACCAACCCAAAACAGGAAATTGAAGGAGAAGAGCAAGTATTTCAAGCAGATGGTCCCACATGTTTCCTTCTTCTCTTCTTTTAACCCCATCTGAAAGGAAAAAAAACACAGATATGAACTACGCGCCAGTCTAGCCGTTGTGCACAAAATTTCTTGTAAAATTTGTTTTATTTTTTGCTTCTTTTGATGTTGTGTAAAGTTCTGACTGGTTATGACACCACAAACAATAGGAAACTTCTGCAGTTGGGTTTGCAACACTATAGTATTTTTTTCAGCTTGATTTTTGAGGAAAATCATTTTAATAATTCATTTAAATGTGATTTTAAATAATGCATTTTAATAATAATTATCCAATTACCTTCAGTGTGTTTGACAAAATATCACAACAAAAATCATTCAGTGTGTGATGATTTTTTTTCATGACTGATACAGATTGAACTTTTGCATTAACAGCTGAAAAGTTCTTCAAAATATCTTCATGTTCCACGCAAAAACACCTAAATCAAAAAAAAGGTCCCACTTTATATTAAGTGGCTTTAAGTACTATGTACTTACATCGCAAAATAAGTACAACGTGTTATTGTGTTCCTGTTGTATTGTAAAACACTTTTGCTGCTATTGAGGTGTGATAGGGGTAGGGTTGGGTACTGAAACTCGGTGCCAATAGGGAACCGGTTCTGACGTAAACGGTAGTAACTAACCAGACCAAATAAGTATGAAAATTTCGGTGCCTGATTTCGATACCCGAGTCTGTGGCATGAGGCGCACACACGCAGTCTCTCGCTGTCTCCCTCTCCCTCTCCGACGTGCATGCACTATACGGTTTGTTGAAGCACTGTCTGATCCTACCCTATCTCACAGGAATTCGTACGAATTTTACGAGGTGGCTAATTCGTAACAATTCATACAACATCACTCATACAAATTAGTACAATTTTGCTAAATCGTACATATTTTACGAATTGTCCAATTCGTATGAATTCGTAAGAATGACCTACCCCTGACCCGCCCCTAAACCTAACCATCACGTGGGTTTAGATAAATCGTATGAATTCGTACGAGTGAGGTCGTACGAATTAGCCACTTTTTAATCACTCGTACGAATTCGAACGAATTGGTCGTGAGATAGTCTGATCTGTCTCGCACGCGTTTGCTCTTGCTCGCTCGCTCTAGATTCCGGGAGATTTGAACTAATTTGCGATCATCCGGGAGCCATTATCAATCTGCGGGAGACTCCCAGAACGTCTGCTGATAGCGAGGAGATTAATGAAGATGCCGAAGACAAAACGCTGCAAGGTTTGGCTGCATTTCACGTGTAAAATGCACGTGAAATGCAGTGCATTTCGTAATATTATACTAACGCAGAGTTCTCTGCCGAAAAAGAAACTTGTCAGCAGCGCGAGGTTTTTAGCAGCGAACGCAGCATTTCGTTCCCTATTCAGAGAACATGGGTTAGAGACGTTCTCCTTCATATGTTTACTCAAAGCTCCGTAGCTAAGATGCAGTTGGAACGAAATATCAAACTGGCTAAGAGCTTCACTAGTAAATGACAAGATAACTTACATGACTAGTTAAAGCAGACATGCTTTGCATGGAACCTGTAGCCATGTCGATATTATATTACCCTGGTAGTAATCTCTATTAATCCCCAGTATAATTACATTGTTTGATATAATATTGTTTTATTTGATATTATGTAAATATGAACTTTTTATATTTTTATATTTTATATTGGTTTATTTATTATTACCATATATTACTTATTTAGATTGCAAGTTAATATTGTGTCCAGTTTGGCCCTGTAAATAAAGGGGTGTGACAAAGTGTTTCGTTTCCTAAAGTACCGTTTCGAGAACCGTTTAGGCACCGGAACCATTTAAAAAATACAGAGTAGGTACTGGTATCGGATAAAATCCAACCGATACCCAACTCTAAGGGTAAGGTTAGGGACAGGTGTAGTGGAATGGGTCAGTTTAAGGGTAGGTTAAGGTGCAAGGGTAGGGTCAACATTGTAATTATAAATGTAATTACATAAATGAATAACAGCTGTAATTACATGCAGGTATTTTTAAAATGTAAGTACAATGTAAAAACATGTATGTATACAATAACTCCATTGTATCAAATTATTAATTTCAATTTAAGTACATGAAGAGTTCAGATGCAAAAGCCTCTAAAAGCCATTTGAAATTTTCTTCGATTTTTATCAAACTTGTATATTTAAGTTCAGTAATTTCACTTAAATGGCATTATGGCAAAGATAATTACCTATTAATTGTTATTTAAGTGAAATTACTGAACTTAAATATACAAGTTTGATAAAAATCATCATTAAAGAAGAAAATTTCAAACGGCATTTAGAGGCTTTTGCATCTGAACTCTTCACATGTACATAGTACTTAAAGCCACTTAATATAAAGTGGGATCCAAAAATGAAGCTTTGGATGAGTTTTGAATTGCATGAGGGCGAGTATGACACACTGTCTGTATCCGATTGTAATCTGATCAAAATGATTGACACGACTGTTCAGATCCGATTTGTGTGTCCCGTGGTGCTCTAACAATTTCTGGAACATCTGCATTGGTTTATGTCAATGGCGTTGGGTTGATAGTCCAATGCCAAAAACAACATGGAGGGGTTTACAAAGTTTCAACGTTGTATTACAATATGACAATGTGTAGATGTCACGCTGGACTACTATGTCTAGAGAAGCAGTGGCAGAAACGTAGAAGACTAGCATGAACAACTTTATTCTGTGCTACCGTCTCCGGAAAAAAAGTGTAGAAAACTCAACACTGAACCATGAAGAATTTTCCATACAACCTGCGCATTGAGAACAATATGTACAAAAATCTGATTTGAACTGACATTCTGAAAAAGGCTTAAATGATGATAAAACTTTAATTTTGGGTAAACTATTTCTCTAAGCTCTCAAATAAATGTATAATTACATCAATGTTTCTCTAAAAATAATTGATATGAAGAAAGGGTTAGTTTCTCAACTGTGTGTCATGTAAAACAAACAAAGACACTGACTCACACACCCGTAAACATCTAATACCACTTACAAAACAGTAGGCTACTAAATGTACTGGCAATACCATGGTATGATGTTCCAGCTAATATTCTACTTATGAAACACCAAAACTGCACTATACGGTAACTATTTAGTTTAGGGTCCAATTCTCACAATTAACTCGTTGCTTATTAGCATGCATACTACTAGGATATTGGCTGTTTATTAGTACTTATAAAGCACATATTAATGTCTTATTTTGTATGACCACATTCTACATTCCTAACCCTACCCAATTCCTAAACCTAACTACTTTACTAACTATTAAGAAGCAGCAATTTGTAGTTTATTTAGGCAACAGTCGTAGTTAATAGTTAATTAATAGTGAGAATTGAACCATCTAAAGTGTTCCCCTATGGTACTTTATGATAAGATTCATTTAAAATAAATAATAAATAAATAACAGTTGTGCAACACAACTATACTGCTCACTAAATGTAATGTGTGACACAAACGACTCACTCACCTGTCTGAACATGTTAAGAGCAACATGTTCGTTCTTTACACCACACAGCACAAGCCAGGCTGAATTCAGAATGAAACACTACCATAGGCCTACTACTTTAAATTGCACACAGAGTAGTATGTTATACTGAATCCAGCTGTTGCAGAGAACTTTTTGTGCTACATTTTTTGAGCAACGTTCAATTGAAAGTATTTACGCACAATGAGCTTCATGTGAAGTATATTAGCACGTTCATTCGGATTATTTGCTGACCTTTATAATCACTCATCTCAGTCTTATTTCCTTAGGCAAGTTAATTTAAAATGTTATCTTCGGCACAATATTGTCTTGGTCCCGTTTTGAATTCTACCGCAACACACTAACCGTCCGTCTAGAAATCAAAACTCTACTTACTCTGTTACTCTGAACTAATTTATAATGTATTCAAAATTATATTTATTTATCCCAGATTGTTCGAGATGATCAAACAAAATCTCAAATCCATATTGAAAATGTGCTAAAAACAGAGAATGTATTTAGCAGTGCACTAATGTTACATATAACTTAGTAGCCTAGACTTGAGAAAACCACAAAGATACTTAACTTTACTACTGTCGCAAACTGGCCTCTAATCACAGTTACTAAAATACATACAGTCTACAGCTAAAACACACCGACGAACAATTTTCAATAACTTTAACGTTAGATCTTACCTTTATCAGCTTATGTCACACAAAGACTGCTACAAACGGTGAGAACTGTTCAAATTGTAAGAATGGGTCTTCATTCAAAGATAACTTAATTCTCAATTTATGGGCTAGTTTACTTATTTAGAAACATCAACAAAAAACATAAGAGATCCTAAAAGAAAAGTTCAAACGTGCTCCACCCGAGTCACAGTCAGAGGGAGCAGCCGGGTTGCCAGGTCCAAGGAAAAAAATAATTTCAACCCAAAATTACGGTGCACCGGAAGGGACATGCTTGGTTCACGTAGTTTTCTGTTCAAGTCAAGTCACCTTTATTTATTTAGCGCTTTTTTTTTTTTTTTTTTTTTACAATAGATTGTTTCAAAGCAGCTTTACAGGAAAATAGGGGATAAAAATAACATCACATTCAGCTTAAGTAGTCTAAATTCAGTGATGGTTCATTTTTGTTGTAAAAAAAAGTTAATAATTATTTCACATAGCCGGAGAAAATCGTGATTTCATCATTCAGCTCAATTCAGTTCTCATTTTGGTGTCAATGCAGGCAGATCATATAGGCTATTGAAGAATATTAAATTAAATGTCCCGAAGGGTCACTGCCCACTAGTCTACCGCTTTATTCGTTGTTGTTTTTTAGATCGTATAGGCATAGACATCATAGACGCCCTATCGACCGCTACAGCCTATTGGTACGGACGAGAATTGGAGCCGCCATCTTAAATCGGTCCTCCGCTCCGCTCAGTGTAATCTGAATGGCAGGTGAAATGAGCTGTCAGCGCATTAAATTAATCATATCTCACTGAATACTGAACTGATTTTCACACGTTTTTTTTTTTTTTTTTGCTGCGTTTTTTTTTTTTTTTTTTTGCTGCAAAGGTCATTCATGTAGCTATGGTACAGGAGACATGGTTTGCCGTATTTTAATATCCATTGTAGGTTTAACAGTAATATAATATTCTGATATAAGATATAAAGTGACCAGATATAAAGATATAAAGGATATAATGTATTTTATAAATCGCACACTAAAAATATAATAATGAAGCAGAAATAGATAGTAAAGTAAGATATTTTAATAAGTTGAAGAAACAATTTATGATTGACACACGCACAGACACACGAACAGACACACACACACACACTCGCTCGCTCTCTCTCTCTCTCTCTCTCTCTCACACACACACACACACACACACGCACTTTCACACACACACAGACACACAGAACACAGCCACCGAATCCACCGATCGCAGCCACCTGTAATAAAAAGTGAGAAGAAGCTTTTCAACATGTTTGATGTTTGCATCAGTAATTTCTAAAAAGTTGGAGGGGTAACTCAATTTGTGCACTGCTGTCATGTGTGTATATTACGTTGCTTCCTGATGTGCGCAAACACAAATAACCTATATACAGTACAACAGGGCAGTTGAATGCTTATCTGATAACCTAGAAGCTCTTGTAATTATTACTTTAGTTACCCCACCTCTCCATACAATGCCTCCATACCCCACTGCTCCACAATGCTCTGGCATCTTATCTGCTGCCACGCAACGAGAAATACGACCGGTTAAAGATGGCAGCCGGATTTCTCGTTTTCCAGCGGCCAATAGGGTATCTAGTCTCTATATGATATCTATGGCCATAGGCTACTAGTTTTAGATTTTAAGTGTTTTTGTTGCTTCTGCTCATAAAGGATGCATTTATTTGATCCAAAATACAGCAAGAGGACATAAATTAGGATAATGTTGTGCATGCTGTGGATTAAAATTTAGATAGCCCTTATTCCTAAACGAACATTTAAAACCAGTAGGCATTTGAATAGGTGCAACATTTGCTATGATTTAAAAAAATAAAATAAAAACTTTTTAATGCACAGACAAAAACCATGGAAGCCCGTTTCCGCCACAGTTGAGTATATCTAAGTCATAATAATGAGAAACTTTCTTATAATAATTACTTAATATGCCTATCTCGTAATAATGAGAAACTTAAACATAATAATGAGATATTAAGTCATAATAATGAGAAACTTTCTTGTAATAATAAATTAACATCTCGTAATAATGAGAAAATTCCTCGTAATAATGACTTAACATCTCATAATAATGAGAAACTTTCTCGTAATAATGACTTATTTTCTTGCACTTGAGCAAAGGTACTGGCACGCTAGCGCTAGTTCAGCATTTAAAAAAAAAACACAAATAAAAACGTCGCAAGACCTTGCGTTTTCCCCATTCCACTGCCTACTTATGTGTAAATGTCTCCAAAGTCATAAACATCTTGAAGGTGATTTCTGTAGCCTATTGAAATCTTCCACCCGCAGATCAAATATCCTAGACGCTACTGCAAAATACGAGTTATATTAACACATATACCCATATGTTTTATGAAACATAAATATTTTTGTCCTCATAAAATGCTAGGGCACTGTTTTGTAGCTGTATGACGACCAAAAGAGAATAGTACAGCTAATCAATCAAGGATCATATGATTTCATCGTATACAATATGTCTAATGGGTTAAATTTGGTTAATATCTAAATGTAATGATAAATTCACAACCACATATTTCACTCAGTCTTCCATATAAAAACCTATGGTGAATAGGCCTATGACTGCAGTAGGTCATATACTTGTCATAACATAGTTGATTCAACTGTGTATTTTTAATTTTTCAATTCACAAAAACACATAGTCTTCTGGCTGAGTGAAGAGAAACCCAACCAAATAGCTACAGATATTTTAATCTGTTCAGATCAACTGTAACGTTTATATTAAAATTAACAAAAAACAAAAGAATTGTCAAGTCTATGGTTATTAGTGTGTAAGGGTCGAATTAATTGATTTGTGATTCAATATGTGCCTATGTAATTTCGTAGTATATCCCCCAACTGGAAGCACCAGGAACAACAGGGGTGTAAAACTGCCTGGGGCGTAAAACCATACATATCCATAATAAAGGCTAGATGTCTCATCCGCGCTGCTGGCCAATACCATAGACTATTTATATAGAGACATGCCACTTCCTTAATCCTTAATACAAATGTATAGGGAAAACCCGTAACACCAAAGATGGTGGTTGTATGCACATGTCCCGCCCCTCCCGCTAGACAGCCAATCGTCTGCTTTTAACAGTCAAGCCGGGAAATATTTAAGCCTATCGTCTGGTTCCACCGACGCATGCGCACAGTTGAGGTTTGCGATAGCGGAAAATACGTTACTGTTTAAAAAGGCGGCAGATTTGATATGCAGTGTATGCATGTGTTGTGTAAATATCAGACATCCCAAGTCTCCCAGAAGTTCCGGGTGTCTCCCGCAGATTGATAGCGGCTCGCTGATGCCCGCAAATTAGTTCAAACCTCCCGGAATCTAGAGTGAGCGATCAAGAGCGCGCACATACTGTGTTTCAAACTGTGCAGCGCCCGCGTGACAGAGCGAGAGAACCCTTGCGCATGCGTAGTAAAAGTATAAACTGTGGGAAAAACATAGTTTTAAACATTATTTTGGGGCAAAGTCATGAAACTTTTTCAGCGATTTTTTAACATTTTTTACTGCTGTTTCTATGTATGCAGTTTTTATGTCCCGGTGACCAGTGAAAGTGCAGTTCTGACTCTCTGCCCATTCATTTAGATAGGAGCCTGGTCTTGTTAGTTGAAATAGCTGCCCGGAGGTGTTGCCAAGATGAGCCTGGTCTTGTTAGTCCGAAATAGCTGCCCGGAGGTGTTGCCAAGATGGCGGCCAAGTGGCATGACTTGCCTAAAAGGACTTTGCCAATACGAAACAACCGGCACATCCGAGAACTTAACTGTCAATTTTGTCCCGCCCCCTTTTGGGGGAAAACAAACTAGACTCCCAATTGACTTCAATACAAAATAACGGCAAAAACCAACGTCCGTACACAGCCGACAGGCATAAATAACTGAAGAAATCACTTATATAAAACATGTCAAGTAATTATATGTCCAACCTGCCTGCCATAGAGCGTGAAAGATACATAGCTACACAAACTTAATTTGGTCAATTTAAAAAGTATGTTTAATGTATGTTTAAGGTTGCTAGTGTCCTGCTTTCTAATCAAGCTTGAGATGTCATGCAATACATTATTATTGAGATAATATTGTTCAATCATGTTTAGCCTGTCTGTGCTGTGATAATACTTTATTTTAAAGATGGTGTTGTTTCATTTATAGGAATTTACACAGCAAGCAAAATGAAAAACTACAGATCATTAGAAGCGCACACATTTTTTACAGATGGATGGGTGCAGACAGTCCATCATTTTAAACCTGAACGATCTGAGAGTACCATTTTTAAGACCCAAGTCAAGCCATCCTATAGGGTCACAGAGAAGCCTCACAACACCTGGGTTGCTGTCAAAAGTGATGGGAATATCCTGGCAGCCCATTGTGACTGCATCGCAGGGTAAGACCAAACTTATAGAAACAAAATAAGAAGAACCAAGCTAAATATGTGTGAATGTACTTGGTCAGTAAACTGTGATTATGTTTTGTTTTGTTGTTTTGTTTTGTTTTTCAGACTTGGGGAAAGCTGTTCACATGTTGGGGCAGTAGTGTTTAAGCTGGAAGCCTGTGTCTGCCTGGGTTACAACAAAGTCACATACACCAGTGTCGCCTGTGCCTGGAATGGTGTTTCAACCAAAAAAAATGAGGCAGCAATGATTAAAGACATTCTACAGCAAGCACACCCAAAAAAAGAAGTGTCAGTAACCAGAGACCCATTCCAAAAGCTTCGGCCTCACAGCAAAATCAGCTACTGCAAATGCTCTCTAACACCAAGGAGAGCCATGCTAATGTGTTTACCTCCAAACCCTGGTACAACAATTTAGAAGGCTTTACAGAAGAGCAGTGCTCCCAAGTGGAAGAGGAAACAAAAGGCCAAGCTGCCTGCATAGCTTGGCATCAACATCGGGTGGGGCGGATCACATGCTCTACTGCACACAAAGTCCTGCACACATGTCTGGAAACACCATCACAAACATTAATTAATGACATCTGCAGTAGTAACTCATCGGTCACACTGAGAGTGTCGTCTTGGCAGTGGGGCAAGGAGCATGAAGTGGATGCCATGGACACCTATAAATATGCTCTATCCCTGTGCAGTGCCACATCCAACACCTCACGTACCGTAATGGTGACATGCAAGGACATTTTCAAGACCCACATTAACCTAAAAGTGACTAAAGCTGGCTTTAGAATTTCTAAAGAG